ATCCAGGCTGCTTAGTCAGATAAATATAAGACATTTAGGCTTGCATTGACAATTGTAAACTTACATTGAGAGTTGTAAATCCATCTTCAACTTGGTATATGCCAACACCTACCATTCTTGGCTTTTTAAAAGGTCTTGTTTGTCCTTTACTGGTGTCCTCATGTTCTACTGGTCTTTTCCCTCTTTCTAGGCCTCTTCCACTGCAGGTTGCTTCAGAACTAGTTTGACTATGTTGAGTTATTCCTCTTCCTCTACCTAGTCCTTCATTCACATTTCTTTCTTGAGGTATTCCTCTTCATCTACCTGTTCCTCTACCTGTACATGTACCTGCACCTCTACCTCTCCCTCTACCATTTACAGTCTGTACTTTGAAACCAAAGTATTAAAGCATATCTATGTTGTCTAAAAATGATATAATAATTAGATAGATTGCCTCTGTGTTTGTAGCAATTCCATGTGATTGAGTTGGAACACCTATAGAACTTGAAACTCTTCATGTGCCTCTTTTTCTACTACTTTCATTATTTGTGGTGGCCTGTGAAGAGGCTCTAGGTGGTTGAGTTGAACTACTAGCCCTTGCTCTGCCTCCTGCTACTCTTCTTGTGCCTCTTCCTCTACCACTTTCAGTAGCCTGTATATTAATATATCAATATATGTATATATAACTTACATTTGAAAGTAACAAATAAAAGTACATGTGCCTAAGAAGATGGTTCAGTTGATTGACTTGGACCAGCTTGGTTTCTTGTAGGACATCCTCTTTTATTGTGTCCTTGTGTACCACATTTGCTACAAGTCATAACAACACCGCTTTTGCTAAGCTTTCCAGTTTTTCTTCTTTCATCTGCCTCATTTCTTCTAACCTTACCTGGTCTTCCAGGCAACTTCTTGATCTTTGGTGGCTTTACAATTGGATTATTTGATGTTGGCCACATTTTCATTTTATTCATTGGCTGAATAAAATGGGCATATGTGCTGAGGTACGTTTCCTTGCTATAATAACTAGCCACATAATGGATTGGTTCCAACTCCTTGTAATGAAGGGCAACAACACCATGAGGACAAGGAACACCTCTGAGCTGCCAGGATCTGCAACTACAACTCCTACTAACAATGTCTACAATATGTGTAAATCCATGATATTTAATCTCAAAACCTCTTTCTCCATTCCAAGTCAAGTTACATTGCATAGACTTTTCAATATTTTCTTGCAAAATCTTCAAAGACACAGGAGATAAATCAGTGATCCAAGTGTTTGAGAACTCTCTCAAATCACCAATTCTTTTTATTATCTTCACTTTTATCTCCTCAAGCATTGTGATTATTGTTTTAAACCTTGCAGGCAGTATCCAAGCATTAAAGCTTTCTACCATATTGTTGTCCACAACATCACATTTGCTATAGTCTTGAAAATACTTCTTGCACCATGTATTCAAGTTGTACCACAAAAGATCATTCAAACATTCTTGTCCTAATTTCTTCATTGGTTGTATATTATCTTTCATCTCAGCTTCAAATGTGGATTTAGCAATCCTCCAAAACACTCTTCTTCTTTCAACTCCTTTCCAGTTTTTACACCAATTTGCAAGAACATGTCTTGCACATTTTCTGTGTTCAACCAGTGGCAATACATTTTCAACAACAATTTCTAGTCCCTAACAAACCAACATAATAGAAAAAGAATAATTAAAATGCAAAACTCAACAACAATAAAACAGTAAGATCAGTAAGATAATTACCTTTTGCATATCAGTAATGATGGATAGTTGATGCCCTTCTCCATGGTCAAGATCATTCTTTACTAGTTCAAGAAATCATGTCCAGGTAAACTGATTCTCAACTTCAACAACTGCCCAAACAATAGGCAGCATTTGGGTTTTCGCATCTCTACAAACTGTCACTAACAACTGGCCTTTACACACACCTTTGAGAAAACACCCATTAAAACCAATCAACCTCCTAGCACCTCCAAAAAATGCTTAATTTAAAGCATTGAAACAAACATAAAATCCTTCAAAATTTTTTTGCCTAGTTTCATCTTCTTCTCCAACCTTCACTACACAAGTACTACCTGGATTACTCTTTAAAATTTCATCTTTATAATCAAAAATCTTACCATACTCCACAATGTGATCACCCATGATCTCTTGTAACACTCTAGTCCTAGCTCTTCTCACTGTTGTCCTACCAACATTAATATCCATTTCTTTCCAATAATGTCCTTCAACAACACAATGTTGATGTTTGGCTGTTGAGTTATTCCTTCTTTGTATTTGGTGGCCAAAAACTTTGAGTTGCAAAGATAGTTACGAGTTGATGTCAAACATTTATGGACAGTGTTGTATGTTTTAACAATGACATCTCCATTAGTTTTATTCTTACTTGCACACAACAACCAAGGACAAGTCTCTTTACAATATCTCACTCTAACTCTGCCAGGCTCATTCACATATTTTTCAATTTGAATGTGTTCTTGGACTGCATATCTTGTCACTGCCACTTTAAAATCTTCAATAGTTCCAAAAATCAGTCCTAATTCCCAAACAATCTTTTCAGAAGTTGCATCAAACACAACTCTATTTGGGGTTTTCTTCCTCCTAACATGTTTATGCACTACTTGATCAACCTCTTTACCATCTCCCCAACCTGTTTCATCATTTATTTCAAAGCTAGGAGCTTTATCACTTAGATAGTAAGGTTCATCACCTCCTAGCTTACCAACTAAGTTTTCCCTAATACCAATATTTGTCTCATCATACCCTATATCTGGACCTTTTTCATCAACATTAATCTGACCTTTTGAAATTCCTCTTGGATGCCCTTATATCTATATTGTCTTGATGGACATCACTGTCAACCTCAATATCTTCATTAGTATACCCTTCAAATCCTGATTCATCTTCTACTTCATCATCAGTTGGATCATTATCTATTATAGGATCAGATGAAGGTACAGAGGAAGGAGGAGGCACAATACAAGGAGATGGTGGAGGCACAGTGGAAGGAGGAGGTACAGTGCAAGAATAAGGCACAGTAAAAGGAGATGGTGGAGGCACAGTGGAAGGAGGAGGTACAGTGGAAGAAGAAGGCACAGTAAAAGGAGATGGTGGAGGCACAGTAGTAGACTGGTCTTCAAATGAAGTGTTGGAAGTTTCAAAAGGACCAGTTGTAGGGATGGAAGGAAAAGTAGAAGTAGGAGGCGGATTATTAGAGTTAGAAGCCTCATTAAAAGATTCCCCACCTACCCCACTATCACTCACATTGGGACAAACTCCAATTCAAGTGGGGCCTGATTGGCTTCACTAACCCAATGAAAAACATACACCTCCACTGTATCCTCATCATTTATCATATTGAAAAGGTCAAATATAACCTTATCATTATCAACAAGGACCAATAACCCATCCCACTTGATGAAAAAATCACAATCTACTATATATCCTAGTTCATTTATGTAGTCCCTCAACTCAAAATAAAACATCCTGTCAACATCTACATCTAGAAATTCTATTACATGCCCCTCAATATATTTAGGTGGGGGACCAAATTCTATTACACCCCCCCCCCCCCCCCATAATACCATCTTAGAGTTATCAGAGTAAAAGTCATCATGAAAAAACATGTAACAAAGACAAACACAATTCAAACACACATTTCAAGAACAAAACAAGCAACAGTAGCAGTAGCACTAACATTTAGCCCCATCACTAACAGAACAAAAGATTATTTACAAATGTATAATGTACAAATTGAAGTCTACAAATGTATAAGCCCCAACACTAACATTTAGCTCTAACAGTAACAACGAATGTATAAGAGACTAACAGTACTAACATTTAGCCCCATCACTAACAAAACAAAAGCACTAACATTAGCAGTCGATAATGTACAAATTGAAGTCTACAAATGTATAAGAGACAAATAATAAGATTCGAACTAAGTGGATAACATCAAACCCTAACCTAAAACACAATCACTAATAGTCGCACTAAGTCGATAACACAAAACCCTAATCACTAATAGTCGCACTAAGTTGATAACACAACACCCTAACCCTAACAGTAACAACGAAAAACTATAATATCCTACAATGGCAACTATTGGAGGTCGATTCCAACACTTTTACTCTATAATAATTCCTAAAATCACAATAATCGAAAAAAGAGAAGATCTTTATCATATGATGTAGAGCCCTAACCTGTTAGACCTTCAATCTCCAAGAATCTTCACCAAGACACATCAACAACGAGATTATCAACACCAACACGACGAGAAATAGTTTCTATTTCTTCAGATTTTAGGGAAAGTTGAGAAAAATAAGAAAAGAAAAGGAGAAGCGACTTTTCTTCAAAGAACAGGATCGGGTCGGGTCGGATTGAATTTTATCACAGGGAGTGAGCAACACGCGCCACTACATAGACGAGGGAATGGGTCAAAATGGCCCATTTACAACGATATTAAATAGTTCTGTGGGGTGATAGGACATTTTGAAAGTTAAGGTGTCTTTATGAAAATACGGGACAACTTTAATTGTGTCTTTATGTCTTTACTCTTATCAAAACAATAACTATAGAGCCTTATTATATTTATTTTGTTTACTATTTCTGAAATCTTCTCTACGTTAAAGGCTAGAAATTAGCCCACCAGGCCTTACCATTTATCCTACCACACTGATGCTCATATATCATATACAAAACTTGAATAACCCGATTTGCACAGATAGACCGCCTAATCAACTAGCGATATATTTGATTTTTCACTTTTTTTGTAACCATATTTTGCATAATTAGTAGACTAAAAAATATTGTCAATGTTTTAAATAACTTAGAGCAAGTACTAGAACTCATATTGTTATAAAGGAACCATAATACGACTTGCATATATAAAAAATAGGATGTGGTTTCCCCATGATCAGGAAAACCTTTTATTCAAACACAATACATGAAATTAAAGGAAATAAGAAAGCAACAATTTGAAATCCAATTGGTCTGATCGATCTCTCAGAAATCATACTCATCACGATCCTGGAGAAGCCAACATCCATCTTCTTGTTGAACCATTCCTTTGTGCTTCTCAGACCACCAAAGGGGAGGAATACAATGTTCATCTTTCAGTATGTTCCACTGCTTGTTCACAAGTGAAATATCGCGATTCACTTCTAGCTTAAAACCTGCAAACATTCCAATTCCTTGAGTCCCAGCAATTCCATGCAAGTATGGTTCCAACAAATGCCAGCTCACAGGTTCTCCTGGAGGCTTCACATACGGAGATTTTGTTGTATCAATCATTATCTCCTGCCCAACGTCAAAATACCCAATGGGTGGGTATTTTGGAACAATATCCAATAAATTATGAATCCTCAAGATGTGAAGATGCTTTAGTTTGGAAAATGCATTGAGAAAATTCACATCTCCAACTTTAGGACTTGCGAATACAAAAGCAGTTACTGGAAACTCCTTGCCATTACTTGCTTTGTTGATTTTATTGAAAGCTATGTCAACTGCATTCAGAGTTGCAAGTGATGCACCTAGGCTGTGTCCAGTCACAGTTATGCTCACCTCTTCATGTTTATATTCCTCGACCAATCTTTTCACTTCTTCCATTACCTAAAAGGAAGAAAAAAACATGATGAATTGAATTGTTAGATCGACTCGATCTTTAGGTAATTATCATATGAATGTATTATCTAAGCAAGTTAACATGATGCGCGCACCTGATCCCTAACACAAGTTTTATTAAACTGTGATCGTGGATTTTCCGTTGTATAAATGTTATGGAAGCCATGATGTACCAAAGGATGAAACAAAGGAAGCAAACCTCCATCACCAAAAACTTTGGGTGCTGGGACAAGTAAAAATTGAAGGTCATTTACCCACTCCAATACTTGCAAAGTTCCTCTCCAATTAATCACAATATCCCTCCTTCCTAGTGAAGCTTTTCCCTCATCAGTAGCCACAGCAATATATCCCATAAAATTTGATTCCTTACTCCATGCTTCTCTTGAAAATGATTTTGTAATGAAAGCATCAGGAAGTGGCATGGATGAGGTAGCATAGAAATATTTGGTTACACAATACTTTTTTGGGTCAAGTCCAACCTTAGTAAAAAAGTTTTCCATAGAGTATCTGCTAGCTCCTGCATATTTAGACGCTCTCTCTGAGATGAAAGTGTCATAAGTTGCTTGAGCCAATTCTCCATATTGAATAATATATTTGCGAAGATCAAGATCCAAGGGGTTTAATAGCCCATCCCAATTGTTTTTCCCACTAAGTTCCTCCCATTTATCAGCAAATATGCAAGCCATTCTTTTTCTTGATCTTTTATGTTTTTTTCACTCTTTGTTTTTTTTTCCCTTGGTATGTGAACAACGTTAAGCCTTGAATTTATAGTGCAACTTTGTTTCCCTTCTGCAGAACAATAATTGAAATGGCCAAGCAATAATGCTAAAAATTACTAATCATTTCCATTATTTCTAACTAGATACAACTGTACCCTTATCACCTTATGGGCATGAACATAGAGCTGTCACATATAGGGATGGAAATATACTGAGGTAAGGATAAAACTGCGCATATACTCTTCTTGGTTAAAATGAATAGGTAGGGGTCAGCCTAATCCTCCACCAATAAGGTAGATTTGAACAAAAAAAATGTCTAATTGGAGGATTTGGGTCAAATTTGGACGTTTCAAAATGAGTTAGGATAATATAATGATCCGTCCGAATTGTATTTGGGTTGTAATACATTGTGTCTAGAAGAACATAACTAAATAATGGGTCACGAGTTAATTCACCCGGCTCTTATCGATTTCATTTATTTTTGCTTCTCATAATTTGTTTGATTAGTAAACAAAACTAATAAGATAATTTATCTCACCGCCATATATCAATAATTCAAAAATAAATAAATAAGCATATCAATCTTTAGCAGATTAGAATCGTTCCCGTGTTTCTAAAGGGTTTAATTTTGTCGTTGTTGATATAATTTATATTGTTGTAAGTAACTTTTCTTGAGTTAGCAAACTATACTTACTACTCTCTTTATCCAATTGTATTTGTCATGTTGGGCTTTTCAAAAGTCAATTTGACTAATTTTCATAGTTAAATTAGATTACATTAATTTGATATCTTAAACAAAAAATTTAGATATTCAAAAACTAAACGAAAAGAACTATTAATTGCAATTTTTTGCATATCAATATGATGAAAAAATATATTGTAAAATGTTAGTCAAAGTTCTTATAGTTAAACTCTAAAAAAAGGAAATCATGACAATTAAAAATGGAAGGAGAGAGTACACTACATAAAAAATGATCTTTAGCAGCAATTAATTAACGGCAATAGTTCAATTGCCGCTAAATATGTATTTTTAGTGGCAATTAGCAATCTTTGTATATGTCCCTAAAATCTTTTGCGACATTGCATTTAATGACACTTAATTAATATTGGTAAAAATTTTAGCACATTAATGTGTCTATTTATTACCGTGATAGTATATTATTTTTTATAAAGACAAAAAGAAAATATGTGATAGAGTAGATCGTAAAACTTTCTTGGAATACGCAATCCAATCATGCATGATGGAGATCATCAAGTTGGTCTGATATTGTAAAAAATATTTGAATTACTAGTGTATTGAATTAAAAAGCATATCTAGTGACTAGTAAATACCAATCTACCCACTAGGCTAATCCCTTTCATGGCAGGTCAGAAAAAAAAGAGAAAATAAAATAATACCTCAGAAAAATCAATATACAATATGGGGCATGCAACTTGTCCCGATTTAAGCACGTGGAGGATCATTGAATTATTAAAGTTCTATTTTTCATTTTGTAATTTTCTCTCATGTTTTTTTTTTTTTTTACTTTTTCTATCTTCATTTTTCTTTTAAAAAAATAAAAAAAGATAGAATGTATTAAAATATCTAAATTAAAGATATGTAAAATATATTATTCTAATTTTATGATCTTAAATATGCATGTCATATAAAAAATTAGAAATAACGAATTGTCAAAAAAGAAAAAAAAACATATTTTTGAAATAGACTTAAAAAAATAAGCGAAATAAACTGAAATTAAGAAGTAGTAATCACATGAGAATTCTACAAATATTTACATTCTATTAATCCTCTTTTCACAATATACCATATATAGTGATACTCTGAAGACCATTGATTATATGGTAATCACAACTAATTTATCACGTATTATTATAATAAGAGTAGTTACTATTGATTTGTGAGGACTCATCAATTGATGACATAATCCAACGAATTTAAGAACCATCGAACTATTAGTATTTCAGTTGGGTGTTCGATCCGACGAAAGCTAAGATTGAAGTGTAGTGGTGGGGCCAGAAATTTCAACAAGGGTATTTAAACTTTAAAAAGTGAATGATATTTCTTTTTCTTTCTCTTTTTTTTTTTTTTTTTTTGTTGAAATGCAGTAGGCAAAAATAGAAACAGGGACCTTAGGCTCTGATCTGAGCACGCTTACAATTGGATCAAAGACCTTTGTTGTATTTAAGAGGAGAAAATGACATAAATAGTCCTCTAACTATAGATGTAAGCCTAAAATAGTCCCTTAATTATACACTTAACGGATTTAGTCCTTTAACTATTCAAAAATTTATCAGTTTTGGTCCCTTAACTATACACTACTCTTATGAAAAGAACAATATCGTGAACGATTCAAGATAAAATTAATGAGGAAAGAAGATATAAGTCCTAATTTTAATCAATGGAGGATAAAATTAAGCATATAATTGCTGCTATTGACTTAAATTTGCACTTGAATATGCTCACCGGTGAGAATTTATTTAATTTACTCAAATTTATTTACGTAAAATAAAATGAATAGAATAATAAAATTGATCTATTTAAAAAAAATTACAAATCTACAATTTTATAAATTTCAATTTCTGAAAAATTAAACAAATTCCGTTCAATGAAGTCGTTGGAGTACAAACTTCGGATTTAACGGGTAATAATTTTTTTTCTTTTTATAATAAAATTTAGCATAATCAAGTCCTTAGTAGCAATAATATGTTTCATTTTATCCTCTGTTGAATAAAATTATGACTTATATTTTTTTTTCGTGAATTTTATTTTAAATCATTGAGATTAAGATTCTTCACATATTGTTAATTTGAAGAAAAAGTAGCGGAGAGAGAGAAACAACAGAAAAGATTGCTAAAAGATTTAATTTCTCGAGGCATGAATTCTGTTAATATAAACCTAAGCTATTTCTATTAAAAATGGACAAAGACCAAACCTGATAAGTTTTTGAATACTTAAAGGACTAAAATCAATAAGTTTATAGTTAAGGGACTAAATCTGTTAAGTGTATATGTAGTTAAGAGACCAAAGGTGATAAGTTTTTGAACAGTTAAAAGACTAAATATGTTATGTATATAGTTAAAGGACCATTTTAGACCTACTCCTTAATTCACTAATTCTTTTCATTTATCGTAGACTCACGTGCATATCCTGGAGTCCTGAATTAAAATCTTTCGCAAATACAATAATTTTCTGAATAAACATCTTTGCATTTATGGTTTACCCTAGACTCGTAGAATTAGATATTACAAGCAGAGTTTCAAAATCAAATTGAAATCGGGCCTATTCCATCTTAGCGTCCGTCCGCCACAACGTCTATACAAAGGATTGCGTATGGGAAATATTGAAACCGTCCTTTCCAGTAGTATCGTTGTCCTAGGTGTCGACGAAGACCGAGACAAGTCCTTACTACTAGCACTGACTTCCTCTTTGATTACTTTACTTCGCTCAGTTTAAGAAATAATATGAGGGGAAAATTATGCACAAGAATCCTTTAATTTCCTACATAATATACAGGGAGAGAGGCAGCAATGGAGAACAAGATGGGGAAAAACGCAAAGAAGAAGAGGAGAAAGAGTCGGTAAAGAGAGGAAATAATTTAGGAGAATTAAGGACAAAATAAAATGGGTAAATAATATATGTTCAGTGGGTTGGGTCAAGTAGGATGGCCATTAAATGGTTTAATGAATACTCTATTTGTCCCTAATTACTTGTTCATTTTTTATTTTTTAGTTGTCCCTAATTATTTGTCCATTTTGACAAATCAAGAAAGGATAATTTTTTTTACTTATTATACTCTCAATTAATTACTTTGAAAAAGGTAGAACTTTTTTGTCACTCTCCGAGCCTACACCCTAGGCGGGACTGGCACTCGAAGACCATTGTTAGCCACAAGCGAACCCTTGGCCTGGCTTACTTACTCAGCGGAAGACAATATTTATACTTAATGATCAATAATACTTAACTGAACTAAATCATAAGATAACTGAGACTGTTAAAAGCTAAACATTCAACTTGGCCAAAAGTGGCAACCCAAGTCTTAACAATAAGAAATGATATTGAAAAGACTCAAAGGACTAACATATGACTGTCTATGAAGCCTCTAATAAAAACTGAGATGGGTGTTGGGACAGACCCCACAACATCCTAATGAACTAAACTAGAAAGCAATGAAATGGATCCTCCAGAAAGCAAGGAGGCTCACCAACAGACTCTGGACTGCTCACTGGATCAACGATGCGCCGAAATGCCGATCCTAGTTACCTGTGTCTGCATCATAATACGATGCAGGCCAACTGGCATCAGTACATTGAATGTACTAGTATACGAGTTGGAATGCTAAAATATCATAGGCTTGAAAGAATCTGAGAGAAACTGAAAAACTTACCTGGCTCAACTCAACTCAACTCAACATGACAGAACTCATTTCAATATAAAGCAGTTCAAAAACAAGTGCAATATAAAGAAAAGTTGTTTAAAAACATGATATCAACTCTGTGTGTATGCAAGATACAAATAACTCTGAAATGTATTTAGAAATATAATGAACTGATGTATATAAAAAATATAACTTATGTGGGAGTTTCTCTAACCGACAACCATCACTTAAGAGCTATAGTGATGATACAACAATCTTCCTCACGCTGCCAGCGCATCATATACCTGGCCAAAGGTATAAGACCTAAACTGCCTAATGGATCCACTAGTCTATTTCGAAAAGGTTCATCTAAAAAGTATGACCCATTTCTACCCATGATGGCTACGTGGTTTTATGGAGGTGTGAGTTATCTGAACTCATGCCCGCCCCCAATTCGGTGCTCAATACTACTCCCAAAATATACTAGCTCTTATGTTTTAAAAACATACTTATTCTGTGATTTGAGATTAGTGCTCAAAACTTAGCTTAAAGGCTATCTTGGAAATCTCAGTTTCCCTGCTTGTTTCATTTAAAAAGCTATTACTCTTTCTG